TCAGGAGTCTGCACCCAGGCTCCCAGGGGCTGCTCCTCCATGCCCAGGGGTGATCGCCACCACCCGTGTCTTCCTTGGGTTTTTCCAGACATGGTGCTTACTCCTTCCTGCTGTCACTCCCTCCTTATGCTCGCCTCGCCTTTTAGCCCTGCACATAATTCCACCACCTTCTCTCTGACTGGAAAAGAAAGAGAGGGCCCTGCCTGTTGATCCTGTTTGTTATTCGCTCTTCTCCTTTAAGGTTTTCTTTCTGTTGACTTTGGTTTCTAGAAGCTTAACTATGATGGGCCTAGGGCTGTGTGTGTGTGTGTGTGTGTGTGTGTGTGTGTGAGAGAGAGAGAGAGAGAGAGAATGATGCATTTATTATGCCAGGATTTTAGCACATTTGAACATGCCACTTGATATTTTTCATTATTTGGGGAAATTGTCAGTCATTGTTTGTTCAAATATCCTTCATCCCAAAGAGTCCCTCTTCTTGAACACCAATCGAATATATCTTATGTGATTGGGGAGATAAATTATAAAATTTAGTATTTCCATTGATCAGTTGAAACTATCCCTCCTGGAACTTCTCAAAGATATTCTCCCTACCTTCTGTTTTGTGGGATGCCATTTTGCTCCACTAGCTTTCCTCCTTTCACTTATGTCCTCTATTTCAGTCCATATCGCCTTAGAGTTTTTATAAAGTACCATTTTGGTGCCCATGTCCATGTAGACGTGTCCTCTGAGTCATATTTCCCAACATAACAGGGAGAAATGATGTCTACGCTCGATGCCAGCTTCCCCTCCCCCCTTCCCCTTTTTTCAAGCTCTCTCTTGGAAAAGGAGTTCACAGACTAGAGCTTCTGAAACAATTCTTCCTAAAAGCATGCCTGATGATTGGAGAAATAAAACCTGATTATCATCTTGTCTTTCATTCTTCAACGATGGAGCCAACGTCAAAGAACAAAAGTTATACCGGGACTTCCAAGTGTTCAACTACTCCTTTTGAGCAATGTATTTCTTGAGGATCTAGAGTTGATTATGAAATTGGAGATTCTGGCCTTGCTACTTACAGCATTTCCTCTGTATTTTCATCAGGGCATGTATTCCCACTTTCAGGCAGTCTTTGATTTGATAATAAACTAAGACGTTAAATGCATTTTTTATACCCAGGGCCCTCTGAGATCTTGGAGTGACTTTGACATTTAGTTTGGTGTTGTTCAGTGTTCTCTTATTATCACATTGCTACCAGTGTGCAAAAGACGATCAGTATTCACATATCAGTATCTACCTACCGAGAGAGAGAGAGGGAAAAGAAAGTTATATTCCTATTAGTTAAAATATGAAAAGAAAAATACCGGCCAGACTCCATAAAAACCCCTTCAGACGCAGTGCTGGGGCCATGGACCTTAGCTTGGGGTGAAAGGACAATTGAACAGTTTGGTCTAACACACCTCCTCACCTGCCGTTGCTTTTCTTTGCGTACATTGCTTTTGTAATCAGAAAAATATCTGTAATCAATGTACTGAATATGCTCCCTTAAGGTGCTTGCTTCATTCACACCTAAAAAGATGAGGCAGATGTGAAGACCAAAGAAACTTCAAACAGGCTGTACAATGTTTTAAAAAGCCATTTTTTATGCTATAGAAATACATGTATAAATAAAATAACAATTCTGGAATCTGTGGACTCAAAACATTTACAGCACACATTCCTGGGTGATGGAATTACCTATGATTAATACATCTCTTATTTACAATTTTAAACGTCATTCTAGGGTTTTCCGTGTGTATTTCAGACTCAGAAAAACATCATGGTAACATGAAAGGGCCTTTTTTGTTTCACACACACAACCATAAAATCACACACACACATACACTACTGTGAATTCCACGTGTCCCAGACAGATACTATCGTGGAAGCGGCACTCCCCGTGCTTCTGAAATGGAAGGGCACTAGCACCAACCAAGGACCATAATGTGGGAACATTTAGAAATGCTGCAGAAGGAGGAAGAGAAACCAGACATCTCCATTATGGATGAGATTAGATATCGTTTCTGTTTCCAAATGACATGTGTTCTCCAATTGGTTTGATTTCCTGGCTGCTTGTCGATTTTCTAGATCAATACCAGAGGTGCCTAGCTTGCGGGCTTCCGCACTGAATGCCCTCTGATCCCCAGAGAGGAGCACGCCTCAGAAGCAGAGAGGGGGGTGAGGGAGCTGCTGGACCAGTGGCTGCAGTCTGAAGAGTCCCAGGTTCCAGCATCGGAAGCCGGACCTACCAGAGTCCACGTGCCATTCATTGGGTAAGATGGGTCTCATGTTACTAAAGGTTTCATTTCCCTTCATTGTATGTTGAGATGGTGGGTACAACTAATTTGGCCCCTGGCTCTACAGCCACTTCTTTTTTATTAGGAGCCACAGATTTGGTATTGGGAAATAAAAGGTTTAGTTTGGCTCTTTAAATTCTATTTATTGAGCTTTTTTTTTTTCCTTTTACTTCTATTGCATCACAGTCAGAAAACGTGGCTTGTGCTGTTTATACTCTTTGGACCACACTGAGATTTTCTTTGCAGCGTACAATGGCATCTGCTGTTTACATTTTATTGTGGTAAAATATGCATATAACAAAAAGTTTGCCATTTTAAACATTTTTAAGTGTACAATTAAGTGACGTTAATTACGAGTACCATGTTGTGCTTCAGTCACCACTCTCCATTTCCAAAATTTTTCATCCCCTCAAACAGAAACTCAGTCCCCCTTCAGTAAAAACTCCCCTCCCCAGCCCCTGGCAACCACTAGTAAACTGTGTTCTCTCCGCATATGCCTATTCTAGATGTTTCATACAAGTAGAATCATACAACATTTGTCCTTTTGTGACTGACTGCCCTCAGCATCACGTTTTCAAGATTCATCCCTGTGGGAGCTTGCACCAGGACTTCATTTCTCTTTATGGCTGGGTAATAGTCCATTGTATGGACAGACCACTTTTTGTTTATCCGTTCACCTGTGGATGGATGTTTAGGTTGTTTCCACCTGTTGTCGATGTTGAATAATGCTGCAATGAACATTGCTATCTGTTTGAGTCTCTGCTTTCAAGTCTGTAATTGCCAGACCAAGTGCTAATTCTATGCTTAGCTTTGTGAGGAACAGCCAAACTCTTTTCCATAGCGGCTGCCGCATTTTACAATTCCCACCAGCCATGCTCAAGGGTTCCAGTTTCTCCACATCTGCGACAACACTTTAGTTTCCATGTTTTCTGATAATAGCCATCCTGATAGTCTTAGGTGGTATCTCACTGTGGTTTTGATCTGCATTTCCCTAATGACTAATGAGGCCGAGCATCTTTTCATGTGCTTGCTACCACCAGTATTATCTGCTTTGGAAAGTCCAGTTTTTCTCTTTTTAATTTTGTTGCTCATGCTTTTGGCGTCATATCTAAGGACCCATTGTCAAGAGAAGGTCTTGAAGCTTTATGGGTTTTGATCTTATATTAGGTCAGTGATCCATTTTGAGTTAGTTTTTACATATGGGTTGAGATACGGCTCTAACGTCATCTTTGGAAGTGGAGATCTAGTTGTCGGGAGGCAGATTTTGTTTTGTTTTGTTTTGATTTTTGTGCTTTAAGTGAAAATTTACAATTCAAGTTAGTCTCTCATACAAAAATTTATACATGCATTTTTATATGACCCTAGTTGCACTCCCTATACTGTGACAGCACACTCCTCCTTTACACCTCGGATTTCCCGTGTCCACTCAATAGGCTCCTAACTGTCTCTGCCTTCTCATCTTGCCTCTGGACAGGAGCTGCCCATTTAGTCTCAGGCATCTACCTGAGCTAAGAGGCACACTCTTCACAAGTATTATTTTATGTCCCATAGTCCAGTCGAATTTTTGTCTGAAGAGTTGACCTCAGGAATGGTTTTAGTTTTGGACTAACAGAGAGTCTGGGGGCTGTGTTTTCCATGGTCCCTCCAGTCTCAGTCAGACCATTGAGTCTGGTCTTTTTACTAGAATTTGAGTTCTGCACCCCACTTTTCTCCTGCTCCGTCAGGGACTCTTGTTGTGTTCCCTGTCAAGGCTGTCATTGGTGGTAGCTGGGCACCATCTAGTTCTTCTGGTCTCAGGCTGATGAAGTCTCTAGTGTATGTGGCCCTTTCTGTCTCTTGGGCTAATGCTTTCCTTGTGTATTTTGTGTTTTTCATTCTCCTTTGCTCCAGGTGGGTTGGAGGAAGCACATGTTTTTATTCGCCCATAGAAATGAAGATTTACAGGTTCTATCAAATGGCTTGTAACCTCAAACAATCCTTACCAACCATGATATCCAGTAATTCGTCATGATAATCATCATGATTCAATGAAGTTTATGCCCATGCTATGGAACAGGGCATTGTGCTGACACCCGGTATCTGTATATGTAGGACATTGCCTCTGACTTTGTTGGCTGGACAGGGTGGCACTAGCAGCCTAGGAAAAATACAGAATGAAGCACTCCCTTTAAATTGAACCCAAGGAGTCTGAAAGACACAGAATATACAATCACACATACATCACCCCTGGCATGACACCCTCCACTAACACATACAGATCCTCTTTGACATGTAATAGTAGTAATAAAAATAACGAGAAGATATGGGTGTAGATTTTCTGGTCTTCCCCCAAATACTTGCCATATAGCCATACGCTTTGTCTACTACCCACTCTTTATTTTTCTTTGTTGTCTATTTTGTCAGTTTCATAGGCCAGTCTTTTTCTGCTTTCCAAAGGGAATTTTTCTGAGATGTTTTCCTTTTCCCTCTTCCAGTGTTTTCCAGTACTACCTCTTCAGAACGTGAATTCCAGCATCCCTGGGAGATTTGGGAGGAGGACAGCCCATGCGAGCTGTATTCCCCTTGTAGTGAAAAGGCAAAGAGCCTACATAGAGAACATTGTTGTGAGGACCTGCCTTAAGACTGGGGATGAGGGCCAGAAAGGTCATCTTCTATCAATAATCTCTTAGCACACAGCTCTAAATCATAATGGATGCCGAGTATGTCCTCTGTAATTGGAAAGGACGCTTATGGCCAGCAAAAGTTTTGTCCAGATCTGGGGCTTCACCAAAAACTAAGAGAGAGATGGCGAACTGTCTAGAAGTTCAAATACTCTCCCTTGATGAAAAAATTAAAGTGAAAAGCACAGAAATACAGATGCTAACTAAGTCTCAAACAGAAGCCATGGCTTCTTTGCGGGCTGCACGGTCAAAGGTCAGGGCTCCACGTGGGGAGGAGAGGGCCCACAGGAGAGCCCTGAAGGTGGCGCTGGAAATTCTGGAGGAGAGGGCACGCTCAGGTCACTCAAGCACTTTCCACAAAGAAGAGACCACCACTGTATCGCAAAGGGTACCAAAAAAGACATCCAGAGCACTCCCTCCAAGAAAGTATGGGAAGCTCACAAGGGACATATCCAGAAGCCATGGGAAGAATATTGAATTCTCAAAATTCCTGGTGGTGTCACTCATGAGGTGTGATTCTCTGTATGGTGACAAGTCACAGAAACACACAGCCATAGATCTTGTCCAGAGTGAAGTGGAACCAAGGTCATCACCAAGCTCCAGAATGGGTGACAATTTCCCTTCACTTTCAGAAGGCGGTGGTGAGAAGGAGGGCAAGAAAAAGGATGGCACATCAGCAGTTATGTCCTCGCACCCCACGGTCTTGAAGAAGGGTGCCTGTGCTAAACCCCAAGAGGGCGTTCCCATCTGGCCATCAGGTATCGTGGGCACGGGACTCAAAGCTGTGAAAGAAGAGGCACGGGACACCTGCCCAAAGACTCTGGCTAGGTCCCCCGAAAACTCTGCCTCCTCAGAGAATATTGAGGATCCCAGAGAGGGCCCCTCAAAGCCCAGGTTGGCTGGCACAGCCGCATGCTGTAGCTCCTCTAACCTCCGTCTTGCCAACAGGAAAAGAAAGCTTCAGGCGCAAGGACCTGTGAGTGGACCTAAAAAACGGCAAACTGTGGATGACTCAGAGGCCACGAGTCCCATCAGATCTAACAATAGGGGCGGTCGAAGACAAGGTCAGCCTGCGCGCATGGCTTGCCCACATGAGCCATGTCCCATAGAAAGAGGAACGGTGGTCTGGTTTAAATTCCAAGAGTACCCGTACTGGCCAGCGGTGGTAGCGAGCATCCAAAGGGTAGAGAAGACTGCGAGGGTGCTCTTGATCGAGGCCTACATGAGCCAGGAGAGGAGGGGCATCCGAGTTCCTCTCCGAAGACTAAAGCACTTTGATTGTCAGCAGAAACCAAAACTCATGAAGAGAGCCAGGAAGCTGTACGGCCAGAGCGTGGACTGGTGCTGCTCGCTGGTGGCCCATTACAGGGAAGGCCTAAGCCGCAGGTCTTTTGCTGGCTCCTTCCTGGAGTATTTTGCTGCCGATATCAGTTATCCGCTTCGGAAAGCCATCCAGGAGGGCGAGATGGAGGGTGATTTTCCAAGGGTGAATTACAATGACCTGGAGGAGTCTGAGGAGGAGACCTGCCTGGGCAGCAAGAAGCTCTGCAAGAAATTTCTCCCTGACCGCATGAAGGCCGCCAGGGACCGAGACAACCGGAAGCTCCTCGACTTCATTGTGAAAAGAAAGGCGGCTGAAAGCCACCTCCTGGACATTGTAAACGGCAGGAAACAGTCCACCTGGCTGGACTCCTTTTTGAATTCCACCAAGCGCGCAGTCTGCGTCGAGACATACCTGGAGGACGAAGACCAGCTGGACATCTTGGTCAAATATTTACAAGAAATCTACAAGCAAATAGGCAAGAGGATGCTGACGCTCATAAGAAATGATAAAGTCAATTTTGTTCTGGAAGTTCTTCTGCCAGAAGCAATCATTTTTTCCATCTCTGCCCTGGAGGGATTAGATTACAAGGACGCGGAGGCCAAGTACCTGGATGGGCCACCTGTTCATTACCGGGAGAAAGAACTCTTTGATAAAAAAGTCTTAGCAGAAAGGAGACGGAGATTAACTAAGAAGAAAGCTAATTAAATCTCCTCCGGTGCCCGTACCCAAGCAGAGAGCCTCCACATTTACATGATTCAGAAGAAAACCTGTCTGGGTGAAGTGTGCGACCCACATTTCTGTGGCAAATACATATTTTCTGAAAAATGGGAGACTTTGGGGGAACGTGCTCTGTTTGTTTGGATCCATCTCTGGCATTGGAGGGTGGCCCACGCAGCATCATTCCTTGTTCCCAAACTTTTCAAAAAAATTTTTGTTAAAGTAGTGCAAACAGATACACTTCCTCCTGCTTTCTTTGCAATGTATAATTCCCCAGATATTTTCAAAGGCAAACACCATTGTATTTCATAGCGTTTCTTTTGGATGGACTTGATATTTTAATATGGGATTCACTCACTTAAAAAAAATTTAAAAAAAATGAAAAGGCACCAGCATCAGACACAAAGCAATGATAATTTTTTTTTAAATCTAAAATACAGTTTTTGCAGAAACATCTACTGAATTTTTCTTTTTTTTTTTTTCTTACTTTGACATAAGTTATTGGATTTCTTGTTTAGATACCTTCTGGATTTTCGCTGCAATACTTATTTATCTTTTGAAACAATCTCTCTGAGATATGAAAACAATGACATAGATGCTTCTTGTATATAACCACTCCCTTCACATGCTCCTTCAAAGGCCATCTGTCCTTCAAACATCAAGTTAATGGATCATCTGCATGGAGTCCAGATGCACAGACTGCAGTCTCAGCTAGCAGAGAACTCTTGTCAGCCCTGAGAGAGAGTGCTCCCTCTACATTTCCTGACACTCCACTTAAGGACACGCTTTTGCTTCCATGCCAATGGTCCCTGAAAGCAGACAGGCTTCTGGCTGTCTTCATAACTGACCATGACAGGGCCCTCTTCATACAGCCATGTGTCCCAACTTGGAAGGCAGCTACGTATGGCCACTGTAGTCACTGGCTGGCTACTGTAGACCCCAGAGTCCATCTAGTGTGGTCTGAATCGTAGGACAAAGAGGCCCTTTGTCCTGGGCCCTGTATCTCCAAGACCTCAGTGGTCATTCATCTCAAACCAGGCAGGCTTTATTTTCGACTTGTTCATAGAGTAGGTACCAACAGGCTCCAGCAGTGTAAATGCAGAGCCCAGAGCCATCCCAGGCTGCTGGAAGGAGTTGGTGGACCAAGATTAGGGACTTGAAACTGGATTACCAAAAAAAAACAAAGTCTGCATTCAGCTGAATATGGCGATTGTGGTAATACAGTTAAACACACACAATCAAAGATAACTCCTGAAGCCAATGTATTGTTAGCCTAGCTTGAAACAAGACTTTTTTTTTCAGAATAAATGTTAGAAAAGCTAGTTTATTTGTAAAACTGGACGAGAAAATAAATGCTAAAGCCTTCCTTGAACCTGACTGCATTTCCCTTCTAGAGGGAGTGAACTCTCTCTTATGGGTTATGTGTTCACATGGCCACGTGTTTTTGTAAAATCTCCACAAGTCAGTTGTTTTGTTCACAATAAAAGCTACTGTATCTTTTACCTTGAACTTCTGCTCCATCATACTTCAGATTGCACAACTCCCTAAATGGTCTGTCTGTAAAAAATATATGTTGATATAGATAATATATTTTTATCTTTTTCTGTCATGGTGTATTTTCTTGTCATTCAAAATAAATAAATTTTCGGTTTCATGCTTGAGTGTGTATTATTTTAAAGAGGGCCTTCCAACTTGTAGCAGCTTTAGACCCAACAGAACCTACTTGGGAAGAGAGCAAGACACCCCGAGGACAGTGCCTGTACCAATCCCATGGCATCCTAACGGCCCTGAGAAGTATTTGGGAACAGACCATCTCCATGCCCTACATAGACCTTATACACTAGGACATACACTGTCGTTACACTACAACTCCATGTCCCTCAATGCCCATGTATGACCCAGGTTTGGCTATCTCTTTGGGGTCCCCTGTATCTCTAGGTCACAATGTCTTCTTTATACCCTCATTCACTGATTCTTAGCATGGTGAGTCAGGAGAGCAAGTGAAGCATGAGTTAAGGCTCTGCTTTGAAGATAAATTTCAGGTGTCATAGAAAGGAGATATTAATCTTGGGACCTGGTAGATGACCTAGTTTCTAAGATGAGTAGGACACACTACTGAATCCTCGTCCTGAGAAAGATCTGTTGCTCTGACACAACCATGGGGTCACCGTGAGTTGGAATTGACTCCACAGCAACTAGTTTCATTACACAAGGGTGCGCCACATAACATCTGTTGGAGCAAAGTCCACCTGCATATACATACATGATCCAATAAGGTTATAATAGAATTCAGAAAGCCGAACAGAGAACAGGACATAGTGGATGCACTTTGCCAAGTACTGCACATCCTATCTGTCTCTCTCTAGCTCTCCGGGTCCCACATCAGCCTCAGCCCTGGGGTGGCATGGGTAAGAGGTTTCAGCACCCATCCTCGGCTGTCTATCGCACCATGCTTGCCTCGGGGGGGACTGCACAGATGCCACTGGAGCTGCCTAGGGAGATTGCACATGACGCCACTGCCCCACTTGGCCAGGGCTCCCTGTGTTTCAGGCCCTGGCTAAAGACCTCGGATCCTCCCATGGTGGTGGTCACCGGACAGTCTGGGCTGCAGAGATGGTGGGAGGAGGCGCAGGAAAAGTGACAAAGGAGGAGGAAGCAGAATAGAAGGGTTTGGGACTGGAAATGTCTAAAGTCCATTATGGGGGATGGGGAAGGCAAGCAGGAAAGAAGGAAGGGAGGACTGCTGGCAGTGAGCCTGTGGGTGGCCTGCTGGTCAGTGAATGCGTGCCGTGGCTGGGGTCAGGTATGGCTCTCAGAGATTGAGCAGTTATCACGCAAGACCTGTGACAGCAGAGCCAATATTTTCTCAAAATCCCTCAGCTTGGAGGGAGTAGCGTGAGTCTCGGGCCTACCTGGTGATCTTCCTGCATGCATCTCACCTTTATATAATATGGTGTTAACACAACATTCAAATCACATAACATCCTACTTCACAGAACGTATCATGGATGTTAAGTGACACAAACTTTTATATATATACATATATATCTTGATAAGGAAAGAGTGTAACCATAAGACCAAACTAGGTGACAAGTTTGAGAATCAGAATCTGCAGTGCAATGAATCGCTTTTATATGGCCTTTCTCACCATGGTCTTGTAACTCCCACCAAATGACTGGGTGAGACTATGCAAATAAGGTGCTTGTGGCCCACCAAGGGGATTAGACAGCTTGCTAATAATGCAAATAAGGTGCATGAAACCCTACGGAGGGGATTGGTCAGTTTTACCATCCCGCTAGGCTTCAGATGAATCATCCCAGAAGTGGAAAGCGGGGACCTTACTATCACCAACAAAGAAGAGCTAAGAGTGGCGTGCATTCTTTAGACCTGAGATCCCTGCACTGAGAACCTCCTAGACCCAGGAGACGAGAAAGAGAGCTATAACACCAGAGACAGTGAGAGATGACAAGCAGCAGCAGAAGAGAAATGGCGGCAGAACCAGGAGACTCTCAGGGATGGTGGAGTGAGCTTCCAGGCCCTTGGAGCTATTAAGCTGAGCACCTTCAGGCAGGAGGCTTGCTGGTGGAATAGAGTGCCTCTGGGCACTTACTGGGGGAGTTAAAGAGGTTTGCAACACTTGCTTGAGCAGAGCAGAGGCTAGGCCGAGTGACCAAGGGCCAGAGAGAAGCCTGCCTGCGGGCATGGCTAAGAAGAGGCTGTCCTGATCAAAGAACTGTATCCTGAATTGTAACCTGTTACTTCCCTAATAAACCCCATAATTCTAAGTACGCTTTGCGACTTCTGTGTGGCCACTGCAACTAATTATTGAACCCAGCAGAGAAGTAGAGAGTGTCGTGGGAGGGATGGCTGGTGTCAGAATTGGTTAAAAAAAAAAAAGGCTGGAGGTCGTAGGTATGTCTGACATCCACCTCATAGCAATCAGCCTTGGGCTGTTGATGCTGATGGTAATTCTCTCTCCCCCTTGTAAAGTTAGAGGAGGTCAGATGCCACTGCCACACCCTTTTCACAGAATTCTTAGCCAGGTAGAAGCAGCCTCTTTGTTCTTGGGGACCCTGCAAAGACTTCATCTAAGGCAGCTGCTCAAAAGGTTTTTCTTGTCTTACCCAACATTCATCCCTGCTAATGTAACTGCTTCCAGACTGATGACAGCATAAAGTATCATCCCAGCAAAAGGAGAAAAACAGCGTTCCTGTTTGGGTGGGAAATACGTTATATTCAGAAGGAGCTGCAGGACCTGCAAGAGCTGGGATAATAGATGTGGGAATGGATTTTGAGCAGGTGGAACCTGCACATGGGAGGTGGATTGTAAGTCAATGCCTGGGAGAACTTCTGGACATGGGAGCACACACCTGTGACTCGGGGTTCAGTGTCCTGGAGCCAACCTAATATGCTTCTGGGGTGGCATCTTTCACTTGGACTGCAGCCTTCAGTAAAAGAGGTGGAGATACCAGAACTGCCATGGTGGTGCATTGAGCAATTGTTGAGAAGGTCAGGGGGACTGGAGTATTAGAAACATTTGATCATGTGAGACCAGCGATCCTACCTCCAAACTCAATCTTTGGGAGGACAGAGACACTCCTGTAATAGGGAATGTGCTGGTGAGGAGTCACACCTGCGTCTTTGAGAAGCTTAGTGTTGGCCCTTCTCTATAAGCCATGGTTGGAAACGAGAGATGCTACCATGGAACTGCTCATCAACAGCAGATGGAAATATGCGAATCATCAGCATACGGGTGGTGTTTAAACCACAAGCAGGACGGGATTGTGGGGGAGCATATAGAGAGAAAAAAAAAGGGTTCCAACACTTCAAGGCTAGGCATAGGGGGAGGAGCCAACCAATGAATGAGTAAAAATAAGTCACTTCCTTGCTTTCCATACACATACTGTGTACCTGTGTGTACAGTCAGACATGGGGAAGCCTTTGAAACCCCCAGACAAGGCCAGAGCACCTCCTTGGGAACAATGAGC